TATGGAGGCGAGACATCACTTGGCATTCTCCTTCGCCAGTTGATGAACATCCACCCTTGTAGCGCTTCACGTATGCCTTAAATACCCACGTAAGTATGACCTATAAGTGAATTTCCTGAGTCTAAACTTACGTTGACGCATTGAGTGGAGCAGTTGTAGTCGTCAGCGCATCTCTTCCATGCGGTCGTGAGGTCTTCGCCACTCTTACGGCCAGGCGTGCCGCAGTCCTCGTAGTATGGCAGTTTGATCTGAAAACGTTTGGCTTAGATCGTATAGGCTTCGTGATCGGAACGTTCGGCTGCCCATTTTGGCTGACCTGGTAGTAACCGCATGACAACGATCCGACGTCCATCTCACAGCCAACAGGCTTGCATCCAGACTCGTGCAGACAAATGCAGTGGATGCATGTATCAGCCGAGGCGGCGTATACTGTAAAGGCGTACTGTAAGTGTTAAATAGCAAAGAGACAATTACAGCTATCCATGCAGAGGGATACTACTGGTTCTTACCAAGAGAAACAGCGAGAAGAAGCTTAGCAATCATCTTCGGCCAAGGATTGTGCCAACGACGGTCATTTTATACCGGTGAAACACGCCATCCGATAAGGATTCAGATAGCGAGAAAACCAGCGTAAGCGCCCGGAACAATGTGATTCCTGAGCTCTGTGTTGAACGATCAAAAACCAATCGGTTAGGAAGCAAAATGTTCATACGAATATTCCAGCACCTTAAAATGGAAATCGATCGCATGGCTCAGCCTGAGCTCCTTGATCGCCTTCATACGACCTATTCTTAGAAGTAATTTTCTAGAATCAACATATTAGCACGAGAGTTACTCAAACTATTTCAAGCACAGGATATCCCGGCAGTCTATACCTACTTCCGGCTTCTTCAGATGTTTTGGATAACTTTCTGGATACTAGGGTTCCAGGGTTGAGGTGGCGTAGTGCAAACTGGCACACTATCACATGAGCGGTCCTGGGATCGAATAACATGTACATACCCATCTAGGCCAACCAAGTCTTCTATCCCTTCGGTGCCGGTGAAATGGTTCCAGACTTGTGTGATAGAAAAATACTATCATGTGCGGCGGCCGACCGCCGCTAGCCATTTGATGGGTCACATGTACGTGGTCACGTGTACTCCATTACGCTTCCAAATAAAGTCGAATAGGAGCTCATCCCAAAACGGTCCTATGCGGGACTCTGCCGCTGCTATAACTCCAGCGTTTCGGTTAGTGTCTTCTCGGTTGTCGTGGAATTTGCATGTTCCCCGATTCTTTCGACTTTTGCTCCTTTCCAGCATGTCACATGAAGACAAAAGACTCGGATGTTCCACGCATCATAAGATTAGCAACGTCTTGGGACTTCTAGTAAGCGATCCCACGTTAAGGGTCCTCATTTGATCTAACTTCCATGTCGTTCATCATCGCATACTGTCGACAGAACTCGGACGGTATCACTGTGCACGGTGACTAGAAAGTCATCAGGAAAAGACGCACAAGACTTTCGTACGAGTTTTGGTATTATCAATGATTTATTCTGGGACTTCCAGCATAAACGCCGTGACTAACCAATAAGTTACTGAGTTCAAGTTCAGGTGGCCTGTCGGCCTACATACATAGACGCGACGCTCGGTACCAGGTTCGTGAATAAATTTAATGTACTGGAGCACAGTTCATGGTTCTGATCAAGTGTGTCTCCAATGAAATGATTCTGGATTAGTAGAAGTTGAATACAGTGCGGTGCCCAATAGATCGTGCCCCATAGTAAAAGTAGTTTTAAAGAGAGGCCGAAGTTCTTATTGGTTCTGCTGACAATATGAGATTAGAATGGAGAGAAGATAATTTTTCGTGGTAACTATTTGACTATACAACTTCTTTCAAGTTCTCAGCAACAATTTTACACTTTTTTAGCCGGAGCATATTAGACTGGACGATATGCATGGTCAGAAAACAACATCCAAAATCTAATCAATCCGTTTCCTATTGGAAGATCATCTAATAATGAGTGCACCTCCAATTCTTCCGAATAAGCGTGAAGATTCGATCAGGCATCGGATCGCAGAGCTTCTTCAGTAGAACAGGCCACGGACTCTTCCACTCCATGGTTATGGGTCTTCTCAACGATTTACCATTTGCATAGATCTTACGCACTAATACACGCCAGATATTTTTGATGAGGTTTAGATCTGGGTTACATGCCGGCCATGTTAGTAACGGGATGTTATTGGACTGCAAATAGCATAGACTACTCAGCGCAGCGGGAATCGAAGCGTTGTCTTGCACAGAGACGTAGTTCTTGTCGGTCGGTGTTCTTCTTGATGAATGGCACCATGTGTTCTTCTTAACGAATGGCATCAACGAGAAGCCGCCGAAGTTCCTTCGGGACATAGCTTGTGGTTCTTTTCGTAGATCGCGCCAATACGAGTAATTCCCAACTGGCCCATCTCCGCTGAATTTTTCTTCATCAGAAAAAATAACCCAAAAAAGACAAAGATAGAAAACTCAGATTTCTTATAAAGCTAAACAAGTTTCAAAAACACAACTTTGTCCAACCCTTGGTCATCTCATTCTTAGCGAAGAGGAGCCGATGATTCTGTGTTAGCCGTGGTGCAGACTTCATCTTCTGGAAAGCTATGTGCTCTGATGACTTTAGGACGCGAGCAAAGGTCCATTTCGAATTCCACATCCTGTAGCTAACTCCCTCGGAGTTCTCGTAGAGTTTGATGCCATATTGATCAAACGACGCTTGTCGCGTTCAGAAGGAATCGATTCTCTCCTGGCTTCTTCTTCGGACATTTGGTGATTGCTCAGGAATATTGAGTTCTCTAGAAATTTGAAGATAACTCTTTCCAAGGTGACGTAACGCGCCAATTCGAATCCGGTCTTCGTTCGTAAGTCGCGTATACCTGCGCATGCTCAAAAAACAATCATGTAAGCATGTGCAGCCTCCAGATACAGGGAAGAAAAAGTCGAATAAATCCATTACCTCAATCCACAACGCCAGAATTTTTCAAAGGCACTATCGATTATCGCACCAGAATTATTTGACCTGCTCTACACATAACATATCCTCGGTAGAACATTAGGAAATTCGGCTCCTATCCAAAATTAGGTTTTTATAGGGTGCAATTTATTATGCACTGCAGTGTAGCACCTTCCAAATTTATTGACGAACACTGCGTCGTATATATAAACAGAGCATAATGTAATTCACACTAGCATGGTGAATATTTTATTGATGACTATCTACAGTGGCTTTGCATGATATTTGTTCCTATGAACATCCGCAGCACTTCTGGATAGCATTCCAGTAGCCGACGGTGCCGGAGTTTTTGCAGCCAGATGGTCCACCGTTATGGAGGCGAGACATTATCTGGCACGATCCTTCGCCGGTTGATGAACATCCACCCTGGTAGCGCTTCACGTATGCCTTAAATACCCGTGTAAGTATGGCCTATAAGAGAATTTTCAGGGTCTGAACTTACATTGACGCATTGAGTTGAGCAGTCGTAGTCGTCAGCGCATCTCTTCCATGCGGTTGTGACGTCTTCGCCATTCTTACGGCCAGGCGTGCCGCAGTCCTCGTAGTATGGCAGTTTGATCTGAAAACGTTTGGCTTAGATCGTATAGGCTTCGTGATTGGAACGTTCGGCTGCCCATTTTGGCTGACCTGGTAGTAACCGCATGACAATGATCCGACGTCCATCTCACAGCCAACAGGCTTGCATCCAGACTCGTGGAGGCAAATGCAGTGGATGCATGTGTCGGCCGAAGCGACGTAAACTGTAATATCGCATAGTTATTCATTCTACTGAAGCAGAAGGATTACGCCGAGAAACGTACCCAGGGAGACGGCGAGAAGGAGCTTAGCGATCATTTTCGAGGCTGTGCTCGTTTCAAGGCTGTTTTATACACATGAAAGACGTC